TGGCAAGCCTGTGGCAGGGGGTGGGGAGGGGTCGCCCCAGCAGCCTCGGAGAGCCTTCCTTGTCCCTCCCGCCACAGGACGAAGAGCTGCTGGGCCACGTGCAGAGCGCCATCCTGCAGGTGCAGGGCGACTGTGAGAAGCTCACCGTCACCACCAGCAACCTCATCGAGGATCACCGGCAGAAGCAGGAGGACATCAACGTGAGGGCCCGGCGGGGGCAGGGGCGGGCCGAGGCGCGACCCCGCCCACCGCTGCCGCCCCGCCCCCTTCATGCTCTGCTCGCTTCGCTCCGCCCCCCAGGTGTTGTACCGGGGGCTAGAAAAGCTCGAAAAAGAAAAAGCCAACAGGGATCACCTGGAGATGGAGATAGGCGTGGTAAGCGCCAGACCCCAGGAGCCACTCTGTGTCCCAGGGAGGTCCCGCTGGCCGTCCTTTGAGAGGCCAGGCGTCGAGCCAACGGGGGGGGAGTGTGGGCTCTCAGAAACCTGCTGGGTGTCCGGGGTCAAGGCCCCTGGGGGATGTGGGGTTCCTCCATGGCTCTCTCCCAGGTCGGGGCCTCCTCCTCTCTCCCTGCAGAAAGCCGACAAGAGCGCCCTGGCGTCCAAAGTGAGCCGTGTCCAGTTCGACGCCACCACGGAGCAGCTGAACCACATGATGCGGGAGCTGGTGGCCAAGATGAGTGGGCAGGAGCAGGACTGGCAGAAGATGCTGGACAAGCTCCTAGTGGAGATGGACAGCAAGGTGAGCAGCAGGAGTGGGGTGGGGACTCCCCTGGGTAGGGGTGCCACCTTCTTTAGGGCCAGCCCCCCCCCCACCTGCTTTCTGAGAGCTCCCCCCGTGCCCCCACCCCTGCAGCTGGACCGCCTGGAGCTGGACCCAGTGAAACAGTTGCTGGAGGATCGGTGGAAGTCGCTGCGACAGCAGCTCAAAGAGCGCTCTCCACTCTACCAGGCGGACGAGGCCGCTGCCATGCGCAGGTGAGGCCCGAAGGCAGCGGGGAGGCACACACTCTTGCGGGGTCAGGGCAGGTGGTGCACGGCCGGGGGTCCCCAGACAAACAGCTCCCACCAGCACACAGCTGATCCTGCCTGGGACCCCATCCCATGCCTGGAGGGTCACAATTTTAGAACTTGAAAAGCTCTTCTAGCTCAGGCCCCCTTCATATTCCAGTGGAGAAAGGGAGTGGGGGAGGCTCAAAGTTCTCTGGGCTTGGGTGCACTACGCTGGGCCTTTGGGACAGGGAGGAGTCCACAATCCCCAGAGCTGAGATGGCTCCTGGGGAACGTGGCCCAAAGCAGATTTCTGGCATTCCCATTCTTGGCCGCCAGGGGGCCCCTGAGACTTACACAGGACACCCTCGGGGGCCCTTTGGGACCCCACCGGCTTTGGGTTAGGACAGGCAGGTGCAGCGTGTGAGCAGCCATGTCTAGAAGCAGGTGAGTTCCCAGGAGCAGGGCCCGGATCTGCACCTTGGTGGGCTGAGCTGCCCCTGTGTGCATCTCACTCCTAACAGGCAGCTGTTGGCACATTTCCACTGCCTCTCCTGCGACCGTCCCTTGGAGACACCTGTGACTGGACAGTGAGTGTCCTCACCTTGCCGACTCCAGCTGGTGGCCATGATGGGGGCAGGCACAGCAGGACGGTGTCTCCTCCATCCCCTACCTGCCTCCACCTCTTGTCCTTTCCTTCTGTCCCCTCTCTCGGGTCTTCTTCCCACCCCTTGGTCCTTCACAGGCAGGGCCCCACCTGGAGGTGGCTGGGAAGGTTCTTTAGGCGGGTGGAATACGGGGAGGATGTGGTAGGCGGATTTGGGTGATGGGACTTCTCACACTCTGCCCCACCCCTTCTCTCTCTGTCCCTGCCCAGAGTCATCCCCGTGACACCTGTAGGTCCAGGCCTGCCTGGGCACCGTTCCATCCGCCCCTACACAGTGTTTGAACTGGAGCAGGTCCGGCAGCAGAGCCGCAGGTATGGGACAGTGGAGTCCTGGGGCAGTGCTTTGGACGGGGAAGGCAGGACAGCTCTCGGGGATCACACGGAGGGCTCCTTCTTGAGGTTGAGATGGGGTGGGGGACCCCTAGATGGATTTCTCAACTAGTCCCCTGGCTCTTCCCAGGGTGTAACTGTTGGGACAGGAAGACCTAGCAGTAACCTGCCCCTCTGGTCCCTGGTGGGAGTTACGGTAGGACGCTGCCGAGGGTACCAGCTGCCGAGGGGAGCCCCTCCGCCACCCTGCAGCTGTCTCAGCAACCCCGGGACTGGGGGGGGGGGCCAGCATCACTCAGCTAGAGGGTCTGAGGGGGTTTGGTACTGTGCCTGCTCCAAGCTCCCTTGGGCTCCTGCCCTCCTCTCTGCTGCCTCCCCATCTCCTAAGGATGGGGGTTCGCTTGTAGTAAAGAGGATTTCAAATTGGTCTCTGGAGCCCTGAGGGTTCCAAGGGTGCAGGTGGGGCCAGGTGGGGCTGACTCTCCCCTGCCCCAGCCCTGGCCAGAGGAGCTGTGCTTTTTTCCATGGGCTCCTCTGTACCTTCCCATTGAGGAAAACTTTCCCCGGAAAGCCTGGCCCCTCGGGTGCTGTGGAAAGGGCTCCTGCCTTGGAGCCAAGCTGCCCAGCAATGCCCAGCCCTTAGCCGAGAGCCCGCGGGGGTCTCTGGTGTTTCTCAAGGTGCTAGCTCGACCCACAGAGGGTCCGGCATAAAAGGCGCCTACAGCCAAAGGCAGTGGCTTATACAGGTGAGGGCAGGGAGTGTGCGTCCTCGGCTGACGCCCTCCATCTGCCCGCGCCCTGCAGCCTCAAGCTGGGCAGTGCCTTCCCTCCTCGGGGCGGCCTGGCGCAGATGGAGCGGAGCGTGGGGCGCCTGCGCTCCATGCACTCCAAGATGCTCATGGACATCGAGAAGGTGCAGATCCACTTCGGAGGCTCGGTCAAGGCCAGCAGCCAGATGATCCGCGAGCTGCTGCAGGCCCAGTGCCTCAGCTCCCCCTGCTACAACAAACGGTGGGCTGGGACAGACGTCCACAGGGATGTGTGGAGCCCTGGTGACCGGGCTTGCCTTCTGTCCCCCCCAACCCCGTGGCCGTGTGAACGCCTCACTGCACTGCCCTGGAAAGCCCTGAGGGAGAAAAAGGGACTGTGTGTCTGTAAGTGATGTGTGTGTGTCCGTGTGTGGGGTGTGTGTGTGTGTGTCCATATGTGTGGTGTGTCTGTGTCCCTGTGTGTGTGTGTGTGTCCATATGTGTGTGCGTCCGTGTGTACGTGTCCCTGTGTGTGGGGTGTGTGTGTGTCCCTGTGTGTGGGGTGTGCGTGTGTGTCCCCGTGTGTGGGGTGTGTGTGTGTGTGTCCATGTGTGGGGTGTGTTTGTGTCCCTGTGTGTGTGGGGTGTGTGTGTGTGTGTGTCCCCGTGTGTGGGGTGTGTGTGTGTGTGTCCATATGTGTGATGTGTCTGTGTCCCTGTGTGTGTGTGTCCATATGTGTGGTGTGTCTGTGTCCCTGTGTGTGTGTGTCCATATGTGTGTGCGTCCGTGTGTGCGTGTCCCTGTGTGTGGGGTGTGTGTGTGTGTCCCCGTGTGTGGGGTGTGTGTGTGTGTCCATGTGTGGGGTGTGTTTGTGTCCCTGTGTGTGTGGGGGGTGTGTGTGTGTGTGTCCCCGTGTGTGGGGTGTGTGTGTGTGTGTGTCCATATGTGTGATGTGTCTGTGTCCCTGTGTGTGTGTGTGTGTCCCTATGTGTGTGTGTGTCTGTGTCCCTATGTGTGTGTGTGTCCCCATATGTGTGGTGTGTCTGTGTGTGTGTACGTGTGTGTGTGTGTCCCCATGTGTGGAGTGTTTGTGTCCATCCGTGTGTGGGGCTTGTGTGTGTCCGTGTCCGTGTGTGTGCGTGTCCGTGTGTGTGTGGTCTTCAGGGTGGCCTGGCCGCAGGGTTGCTCTGCTCAACCCCCCCTGTACCTGCCCTGACTCCCAGAGACCCCTGAAGAGAGCTGCCCCACTTCCCTCTGGCCAGCCCCACAGGAGTGTCCCAGGTCACAAGTTCCCAGCAGCCTGCTCCCAATGACTTCCCGCTGTCTCCATCACAGGGCGCCAGACGTAGATTACACCTACTCGACTGTGGCCCGGCGCTGCGGGGGCAGCCACACCCTCACCTACCCCTACCGCCGCAGCCGCCTGCAGCACCTGTCACAGGGCCTGTGTCCCACTGAGGAGATCCAGATCGCCATGAAGGTTGGGGGCCCTGTCTGGGAGCCACAAGGGAGGAAGGCCCCGACATGACCCCAGATTCCCGAGTCATTCCAGAAAAACCACCGGAAGTCCCCTCATCCAGTCCTCTGCCCTAAGGCAGTTTCTTGACCAGACCCATTAAAGCCTCAGGATCTTATTTTTGGGGGGGAAGAATGCTGTCCTGGCCACCCGCCCACCAGGCATCACTGCCTCCTTCCATGGGCCTCCAGAACAACACCTTTCTCACCTCCTTCACCTGTCTCTCTGTCCTGGTGCCGCCCCAAGTCCTCCAGGAGGGTTCTGAGTGCCGTTTAGTGCCCGGAGTCAGATGACAGTGCTCTGTGCCCTGGGCCTTCATGGAGGCAGGACCAGAGAGAAAACTCTGGATGGTACAATGGTAACAGATAAAGGTCTGTCTCTACAGCATGATGAGGTGGATATCTTGGGCCTGGATGGACATATTTACAAGGGACGGATGAATACAAGGCTGCCGGGCATCCTGACCAAAGACAGTGAGTGTCCAGGTGGCCCACAGGCCACTCAGGCTCTTTGCTTGGGTCATCCAGGGACATCCACCTCCTGGCACACCAGGCACTTTTTTAGGCCACCAGACCCTGGGTGTCTGCTTTCTCTACTTCCCTGACTCCAAATGTTCAGGTCTCTCCCAAAGCCACCAGGGACATGTTTGCAGGTGGAGGACACTGTCCAGCTTCAGCCAGTTGGCTGGGATGTGGCAGTCCCTTTTGCTTGCCAGCCTTCATCTTCACGCAGCCCTGCCGTGCCTCCTGCTTCGGCCTCTGTGCATAGCATCAGCCTGGCCGAGTCCTACCCCTTCTTCCAAACAGCAGAGTGCCCACTCCTGAGCCCCCCACCACACAGTGGCCTCCTGTCCCCTGAATGCCCACTTCCAGTTTGCCACTCCCGAAGTGTGCTGCTGATGATAGCCTGTGGCACATTATAGCAATGGACCCACCTTTCTAGTTGCTTCCCATGCCGAGTAGAGACCTTGGGAGAGACTCACTGGCACTGGCAATGGCACGGGGCCGAGGTGGGTAGGCCCTCAGAGAATCCCTGACTGAGTGGATGGACGGGTGAGCAGACATGGGGATGAAGGAAGCGCTTACATGGGACATGTCCACAAATTGAGGACAAAAAGGACTCTACCCCAGGTGTGGCTGGCGTGACCAGCTGTCCTGCAGCCCTTTCCGCATTCCCATGGGTCCCTGCAGACCTCATGTTCGGTGTCTCAGCACTGACCCTGCCCTCCACTGCCCCCACAGCTGCAGGGACCACAAAGCACAAGTCCAGGCAGTCCCGGCCCCATGGGCACAGGGATCCGTGCCTCGGCGACAATGGCCAGCTGCCTTCTCGGCCTCAGAGTGCTCAGATGTCGGCCAGCAACAACTCAGGTAGCTTCCCTCTGGATGGGGTGTCCTTCTGGGCAGCCTCGGCCCTGCCTCCAGGCCTGTTTCCAGTCCCTGCTGGTTTATGCCGCCTCCATTTTCGTGGAGATAGTGCTTGATGTGTGCCAGGTCTGTGTGGTAGACATTGTTACTGTTCTCATTTTGCAGAAAAGGAAATAGGGACAGGGCTGCAGGCCCACGTCCTTCCTTGCTCGTGCGCTCTGACTCTCCTTGAGATGGTGCTCATGGGTTCTGTATGGCAGCTGGTGGGCCTGGAAGATCTCTGGAGTCCCCAGTCTCCCTTGTGGAGCTAAGTCATGCCTGAAGGTCAGGGAGCTAAGGGCCCCCAGGGTTCGGCCACATGAGGACCTGGGGACCTTACTAGGACATGGGGGCCAGAGAGAGACACTGGAGCCAGGAGGCTGGGTCACTATCAAGTGACTCTGAGCAAGTCTCCCCACTCTCCAGACCTGTTTCCTCATCTGTCATCAAGGGGGTGCTGGGTTAGTGTCTCTTAGAGTTAGGGGCCCTCCAAGAGAATCTAATAATTTGTGCTGAGCTTCTCCCTGTAAAATAGTTACGTACCCACAACGCTTTGCAAATCGTCTCAGGATATTTGGAGACCCCCCAGAGCACACACACCACCCTGTCCCAAGTTAAGAGCCTACATGCTGTTGTTAAACACCCCTTCCTTGCCAGTGCTCAGTGGGGACTTGTGGCTGACGGAGGAAGGAAGCCGGAAGAGACTGGTCCTGGTAGTTACAGGGCTTCACTGAGGGCTCCTCACCAACCAATTTACGAGCTTTGCACATTTGAACCAATTTTAATCCACACACCAACACTAAGAAATAGGGACTTGCTAGGTCCACTTACAGCTGAGAAAACCAAGGCACAGAGAGGTTAATGTACCTGCCCAAGGTCACACAGCTAGGAAGTGGCAGAGCTGAAATTCAAAGCCAAGCAGTCTGGCCCCAGAGCCAGTGCTGGTAACTAAAGGGAATGGGCTGGGTTAGAGGGTTTCGGTGGTGGACGGTGAGCACAGCACTGTAACCTGGGCTCCCAGAACTCTTGAGGGTACTTAGCTCCCTTCTCCCAGGCACTCCACTGTCTACTGCAGTGGCACTTAAAATGTTATGGGAGCAGAAGAGAGAGGGCAGGTAGTCTTAGGAAAATTTCCTGAACCTGTTTGTGTGAATGTCACCTAAATAGTCCCTTTATTAACAGAGGAAACATTGAAAAGAGGCAGGCCCTTAGCCCCCAGGAGGAGAGCTTGTTTTCTGGGTTTTTTTTCCCATTCACAAAGATTATAAAAGTGGCCTTAACTGTGCGTAGGAACTCATGAGAGGCTGCACCGTGCACCCCAGCCCCGGCCGCCCCACCCCCCAGCTTTGCACCCCATCTCAGCCTGGCTAATGGGGCTGCTCCCGACTTCCCTGGGCTTTGGGCAAGCTGGGTGGGCCTGGGGTGGGCCCCTGGTGGGTATGGGGAGTGAGGCAGACAACCCCAGCACCTCCTGTCTTACAGTTCCTTCGCGTCAACAGAAAGACAGACCAGTGACTTCGGAGGGGTGTCTCTCCCAGCCAAACCTGGCCCACCCACCCAGCCCCACGGAGATGGCGAACACGCAGGGCAACCCCATGGGGCTGGAGATGCACATGGATGTGCCTCCTGGGGAGGGGCTGGAGGAGGAGCCCACTCGTGGGCCGCGGTCCACCACTGCTCACTGAGCAGAGCATAAATAAATGTTCAGGAAGAAGTTCACATCGGGCAAGACTTCTCTGACAATCACAGCTCAGGAAGACAGAGTGGGAGGGCCCGCTGCTGGCTGAGCAGCCCCCCAAGGCACCTCCACACTGCCTCCACGTCCACTTGGCAGACCTCTTGGAAAGCAGGTGTGGTCCACAGACAGCCTGAGAATCAGACAGCCACCCAAACAGATGAAGGCACTCTTGGAGGGTGCAGAGGCTTCAGGAGAGCAGCACAGGCCAGCCCCCAGGCAATGGGTGGCTCTCACAGGACCCAGTGCTCCTGCCTTCTAGGCTAGGGGGGGGCCTAGAGGGTGACCCCACTCACGGAGGCATTCTGGGTAGGCTGGACCCGTGGTGTTGGTGTGCGAGCTGTACCCTGGAGGTGAGGGTGGCAGCTGCCTTCTGCTCTCTGGCTGCTCCTGGTGTGGGGCCCCAGGAAGTCGTGCCACCAGCCAGAGGCAAAAACCATTCGGGAAGGTCTCTGCTTGCCATCCTCTGCTGCTCACTGTCGAGTGGTTGCTGCAGACAGCTGTGCCTGAGACCACCCCTGGAAGAGGGGCTCAGACCAGTCTTTCCCAGTCCCCTCCTCCCCAGATGGAGCAAAGGTGGGTCTGGGCAGCACTTGCCCAGGGACCCTGTGGCCCAGCCCTTGTGCTGCTCCAGCTGCTCCTCGGCTCAATTCACTCACCTCCATTCACGCACCTCCATGCTCATCCCAGACCCAGGGGTCAGAGGACTCACTGCTGTCCCCTTTGTCTTTAGTCCTTTGTGCTAAAGGTCTTGGCTGGTGGGAGGGAACAGAGGAGCGTGGCCGGCTAGTGCAACAACTGCAAGGGACAAGCCCCCATCACTGCGGCAGCCCAGTTGAAGACCTAGGGACGGAGGAGTCCCCTGACCTCCTGAGCATGGGCCTTCAGCCAGATTCTAGGGGGCCCCCAATAGATGGGAGAGCTGCCCCCACCCTGAAGCCTTAGAGCCCTGAAGTCATCAAAGCAGTTTTCTGCCTGAGGTCTGTTCTTGCCCTCAGAGGGAAGGAAGTGCCCAGAGTCAAAGATGGGGCTCCCCCCACCCCCAGTTCCCATCTGCCCCTCTGACATGGGAAAGGGACAGCTGGGGCAAGAGGCCCACTTTGTGGTGAGGAGAGGGGGTGACAGAATCACAGAGGGAAAAAAGAGTGGCAGGAAATAGCCAGAAACAGGTTTCTGGCCCCTGACCTGGCAGGGGCAAAGGAGGGCAGGCTGGGCTGGGCCGGGGTGCCATCGGGGGGGCAGGCATGCCCTCTGGGCAGGGGCAGGGGCTTGCCCCTTCTTTCCCCCAGTCTGCTGAGACCCAGTGAGTCTTTACGAACGATGGAATGCTTGTGGCTGGCCAGGAGTGGGGGATGGGGAAAGAGTGCAGTCCCGGGTGGGCATCCCCGACTCCTGGTGCCCTTTTCTCTGCATGCGGGAGGCAGAGCCAGGACCCCTCCTCCACTCCAGGCTGCTCCTGTTTCACTTGGGCCCCACCCTGGCCATGAAATGTCAGAAGGTCGGCTCAGTTTCCCTGGTCTGGAAGCCAAATTCACCAGGTTGGCAGAGAGAAGCACCACCAGGAGGGACAGGCCAGCCCTCCTCCCCCACACCCACCAAAGGACCAGGAGCTACATTTTCCATCCAGGCCAACCCCACCATTCCCACACCTGGGTGGACCCCACCCCAGGTCCCAGCAGCCTTTGGGCGTCACAGCATGGCCACCCACGTGCTCAAGAGGGGCTTTCCCTTCAGCCTGGGAAAGCACAGGTGGGCAGAGGAAGGGCTGAGGTGGGAGGAGCCTCAGGGGTTTCCAACCAGGAAACAAAACTGAAAGGACAGACCTAGCTTCAAAGTACATGGATGTGTCACATGCAGAGAAAACAGGGCAGCCGGGTCCACAGTTCTGCTCCACTGAAGGGGTTGCCCCGCAAACAAGTGTGAGAAGACAAGAGAAGGTCTGGAAGCAGGATGGCGTGGCTGCTGGGATGAGCCCCCTTCAAGTTTCCCTTCACTTGAGGCCCCCCCAGTCCCAGTTTTCTTTCCAATAGCAGGGCAGGGGTCAAGGAGGAATCCCACCCATGTGGCCAGTCCCCGACTCCCTCAGCCAGGTGCCCAGGCTCATCCCCGCTCCCCTGACAGCTGGGCTGTCAGCACCACCCTACCTGAATGCCTGGAGGGCTGTAGTGAAGGGGGAAAGGAAGCAAGTCCCTTTGGGGACTCACCCAGTCTGTATGGCTCTGACAGCCTTGGGTGACCTTCAGGTCATCAAGGCCACACAACAGGCACACAGACATGCCACCCTGAAGGAAGCTGAGGGCAGGAAAAGCAGAGATGGGCCTAGCTGGGGGGCCAGGCAGAAAGGGGTGGGGCTGCCATCGGGAGGCCACCAGGTGGAAAGGGCAGCTCTCCCCACCGCAGGTTGAGATGGCTTGTGGGGCGGAGTGCAGAGGGCTCTCCTGCTGGTCATGGGCCAGAAGGAAAAGAGGGTTACAGCAACCATGTCACGACTGGTCCCTGTCCCTTCCCTTTTCCCCACACCCAACCTGGGTCCTGCCTGTACCATCAAATCCCCCAACGACAATGTAGCCCCTCCCTGATCCGCAGCCCACCGTCCCTCTTTCAAGGTAAATAAAAGCACCACAAACCAGGGAAGTTAGAAAAGTCTCTTTTAAGTTTTTAAATTAAAATTTCACCTTGGTGAGATGAGATTCTGATTTGGAAACTGAACATGAAGGCAAGCTCTCCCCTGCATCCATCTCCCCTGACCCCAGACACAGAGCAGGAGAGGCAGGGTGCCCATGGGACAGCACAGGACAAGAAAGTATAGTCCCCCACTGGGCAGAGCCTGGCTTTTGATTCAAGCCAGCTCTTCAGTTATACATAAGCCCTGCACACCCAGCTAGAGATTGGGTGACAACAGGAGAGGTGACAAGAGCTACAGAGTCACCAAGGGGCCACAATCAGCGAGCGACCAGGGGTTGGGAAAAGATGGGGGGGGATCCTGGGTCCCACAGCCCCAGGGCGGGGGAGAGCTCCATGGTGCCAAGAGGGCGTTCCACACCTTTGGCCTCGGGGCCCTTCTGAGACCCTCATGCAGTCGCTATTGGCTGCCCCAGGACTGGAGCAGAGGTGATCCTCTTCTCAATTCCAGGTGTGACTTTTGAAAGGAGGCAGCTAGCAGACACCTTGCGACAGCAAGATCACTCCATCTGGCTCTGAAGCAGTCCCCGGCCCCCACAAGACTTGGGTGGAAGAAGCAGAGCTGGCGCCCTGACCCCAGCACCGTAGGTGTGCCAATCCCACTCTCACATACATTAGTTATATTTATATATTCATATATATTATAGTTATATATTAAAAAGAGAAAAAACTTGCCTGAAGAGAAACTCCTGAAGGACCCAAGTGGCTCAGGAAGTTTACTGTCCCCCCCTCCCACAAAAATTCTTTTATAAAATCTTCCAGTGCGATCTTCAGGAAACCCTCTGCCCTCCCAGTTCCCCCCTCCCGGCCCTCCTGTGTCCCCACAACCCTGGACTGCCCCCAGCTCCAGCCCAGCGCCGGCAGCATCCAGTCTCATCTCTGGCCATCCAGCGCCGCCACGGCTTTCTGCTGGGCGCCCGCCTGCGGTGCTCCGGGGGGCCACGTGGGCTGTGGGCAGTGCAGGCGGTGGAAGGTGGTGGGGGAGGAGGGTGGGATCCATGGCGCCTGGTGGCTGGGAGGGGATGAGGCCCAAAAGGGGCTGAAGTTTGCAGGCGGGGAGCAGGCCACGGCCGTCATGGGGCTGTTGCTGCTCTGCAGGCCCTCGGAGGCACGAAGCTTGGAGAACATGGCCAGTGCGTCGGGGAAGTTGGGTGGCGTGGCAGGTGTGTTGCTGGGAGTGCACATCTGCTGGGAGAGAGCACAGGTGTGGGGAGGGCTGCCTGCCAGGCTCCCAGGGTCTTCTGGGAGGGGGCTCACCCAGGTCCACCCCTCTTTTACTCTCATTTTTCAGCCCACAAGCAACTTCAATAGGACAAATCATCCCTCTCCTCCAGAGCCAATAAAAACAAAAAAATAATGAGGACAAAACCCCACAATCTTATCACAACCAGGAGTATTCCTCAGGACACCCTGAGGACCATCAGAAGTAAACAGTTAATTCCAATTCCAACCAGAAGCTAAGGTGTCAGATTAAAGTGAAAGGTCAAGGCAGCAGCCCAGGACACCACTGCTCAGCGCCTCTCCTGGGTAAGGAAACCCGCTGGCTCCCTCCGAATGTTCCCAAGTTGTTGGTCAAAAGACAGCGGCCAGATCAAGGGTCTCCCTCCTACGCCAACTGCAGAAAAGCTACACCTTCGTAGAGTGAGGATTCTTCCCACATTAACAGTAACAGCCTCCAGGCTCACAGCCTTCGCCCCCAACATCTCTCGTCTCACAGTGATGCTCAGTTGTTTCAGTTATTCTCTCTACATTACAAACGATGAAACTGAGGCCCAGAGGTCACTTGACCAAAAACACATCCACAGCAGGGAGAAAGCTGAGAAGATGGAATTCCCAGGCTCCTAAGCTCCCAACCTCCATCCAGGCCATACTCATGTGCATTTACAGAGCCAAGTGCAACCTTAAGTCTGGGCTCCCAGGCAGCAGAACCAGGGGGTTTGGGTGCTTCTGTGTGCAGCCTCTAGCGCCATGCTGCTGGCTGCCCTTGGCCACAGGCTGGCAGTTTGCCAGTCTGTTGAGATCCTCAGCCCTCTTCCAGGGGGCAGTTACAAACAGTAGACACCTGCTGTCTTCTGCCACTAGCCTGGGGGCACGGGTTGGGGGTGCCATCTAGGAGCATCTCCTAGGGGTGTGGGGAAGAGGCAGCACAGAGAATAAGACCTACGCAAAGCTGGTTTGGACCTCAGAGCCGCTTCTGCCATTCCCAGGAAGCCATGAGAGGCCTTTGAAGCTCTCCTAATTTTAGCAACACCAGCCCTTCCCCCAAGCGCAGGGGTTGGGGGAGCAAGACTCTAGGACTCTACACCTTGAAGGAGGGAGCTTTCACAGCTCTGCAGTTAAACCCAAGCCAGAAACTGGGAATAGGGGGCATCCAAAAGGTGAACCTGGTGCCCTGTCAGCACCCAGAGAGCTCTGACCATGGTCTTCTGAAGGGCCTGGACTCAGTGCAAAAGCTTGGCCCCACCCAAACATTGCCCTCCTCCCTTCACTATTCCCTGCCCTCCCTCCCCCAGGGCTGACTTCTCGGCAGCAGGAAACAATGAATGGGGGTGGGGGCGGGGGCCAATTGCATCACAGCATCGTGACCGACTTCCCCAGTTCACAACGCCACCCGCTAAGAACAGCCTGGATTGCTAACAGGGCCTGTGCCTGCCTGCCTGTGTGAGCTGAGGCAAGTTCCCGAACCTCTCTGGAGCTTCGCTCTGCTTTTGTAAAGTCAGGGGTTTGGACCAGATGCTCTCAAATCCCTTCCTCCAGCTCTCCCGAGAACCCAGTGTCCACTGCACCCTGCCAATGTCTCCTGCTTCTGGCCTGTGGTGCCTTTCTCCTCTTCTGGGCCCCTCCAAATCCAACTTGAGAACCTTTCTTATCATCTGGGAAGCTTCCTCCAACTGTGGGAATGTACAGTGATCTACAGGATAACCATTTATCAGTTACTCATGCCTTGGGTCACTTCTGGTATTGCCATGGTGCTACTACTGGTCTCTGGTGTTTTTAACTTTTTCCTTCGACTTTTCTTATCCAAAGAAATTCCCATCTCTTTGTGGGCAGGGATGACGTTTCTCCACCTACACTGATGAAGGTTCAGTACTTTTGCATTGATGGATACACCGATCATGTCTGTTACAAATCCTGCCACTCCTTGAGGGAAGCTTCAAAAGGGGATTAAAATCCCCCTGGGATTTGCAAAGAGGCAATAGGAACTAAATGGGCCGAGTCCCAGCTCTTCCTGGCTAGCCTCCCTGTTCCTGGCCCCTTAGAATGGCTGTGCTGAAAGCCCTGGGCTTTTTGGAATGACCACAGCTGGTGGGAACAAACCTCGAGGCTCTTCGGCAAGGAGATCAAAGTAGAGAGCGTCAGACTCAAGGGCAAGGCGGGAGCCATAGATTTCCCTTGGTCAGGAGCAGGGGAGCGTGTCTCCTGGAGACAAGCCCCTCCTGGGTTCAATAGCCCAGTCTCAGCTGCCACAGCCCTGCGGCCAGCACCATTCTTCCATCATACTCCAAACACCATTTTTGTTTGATTTATATACAGCACGAGCCATTGCAAAAGAAAAGCTAATTTAAAAGATCAAGACAGACCCCTCGCTACTTGTCCTTTGTGACTAGATGAAACGGAGCCAAGGACAAGACATAGCAGAGGAACTATTTGCAGCCTCTGCTCTGGAGAGAGCCATGGGCAAGGACATCAAGTGTTAAAAATGCCAAAAATGCACCCCAGAAGCCACAACAGGTCTCCTGGGGAGTGTTTTTCAATTCCTATCACCAAGGAAGTCCCTCCTGCTCCTCCCCCAGCAGGGCTAATAGGTAACTAGGGAAGTGGGGTAGGGGAAAGGGTGTCCTGGGCCTCAAGAAAGCTGTGTACCCTGGGGCCGGGAGGGCAAAGAGAAAACAGCAAACCCCGACCCCAGCCCCTTTTTCCTGAACTGTACGTATCTTAGACTGAGATTAAACACAAATTCTTGGCTTTATCTCCGGTGAAAATCTGTGTCCTCATGCTTAGGGGGTAAGTCCTTTTCCCAGCTTCCCAGTCCCCGTGGGCTTTAGAAGGGTGCACATACCTTTGTGGGTAGAGCCCAGCTTCCGGAGCCAGGGTGGATTTGTCCCTTTCCTGTTCCCTGTAGCGCTGTGTGTGTGCAGCGGGAAGGGGGGCTGCCACTCAACGGCATTAGGGGCTCCCCACAAACACACAAATGCCTCCAACTCCCAGTCCCCTCGCTGGGCCCTTCACTCGGGCTCCCCAGTTCCCCAGATGTCTGGTTATCAGCCGAGCCCCCTCCCATCCACTGCCGCCCGGCTACTGCCCATCTCACAGCTCCCGAGCCCCTCGCTTGTCCTCTGGCCATCCCCCCGTCCCTGCGGCCCCCAACCTTGGC